TGTTCCTGAGTTCCAGCCAAAGCTCTCTACTTAGCGCCAGGCTAGTCTTCTTCCCTTCCTGCTTGCTTTTTGGGACTTGGGTATGGCTCTTTCCTGCACCTTTAAGAGTGCCTCCTTGAAGTACGACCAGCCTTCCTGGGCACCCTTGCCCTCGAGGACCATCTCCCAAGGGACACCCCCAATCATGCTCCTGAAGAGGCCAAAGTCTGCCCTTCGGCAGTCCAAGGTGGCAGCCTTGCTGGCCCCCCGCCTTGCTTCAGCAAGAATTGAGAATTTTATCATTTTGTGATCACTCTGTCCAAGATGGCCTCCAACGTTTACATCCCCCACAAGACCTTCTGAGTTAACTATCAGCAGGTCCAGTAGGGCACTTTCCCTGGTCGGTTCCCTCACCAGCTGCGTTAGGAAGTTGTCTTCCACGCACTCCAAGAATCTCCAGGACTGTTGCCTCTCTGCTGTGTTATATTGCCAGCAGATATCAGGGAAGTTGAAGTCCCCCATGAGTACAAGGGAGAGGGATTGTGAGGCCTCTGTCAGCTGCCTATAGAATACTTCATCAGTCTTTATATCCTGGTTTGGGGGTCTATAACAAACTCCCACCACAACATCTGCCTTATTGGTCTTCCCCTTGATTCTTATCCATAGACACTCAACACTGTCATCGTGCATATTGCTGAGTTCTAGGCATATAATACTGTTCTTAACAAGAAGGGCCACCCCACCACCTCTCTTTCCTTGCCTGTCCCTTCTGAAAAGTTGGTAGCCATCGATCACAGCACTCCAGTGATGCGAGTCCTCCCACCGCGTTTCTGTGATGGCAACTAGATCGTAGTTTTCTTGCTGCATGATGGCCTCCAGCTCCTCCTGTTTGTTGCCCGTGCTGCGTGCATTCATGTAGATGCACTTCAGCTGGGCTAACCGTCCCACTATTTTTCTGGAAGGGCTGGCACCTTTACCTAATAGCCCTGGCGCGCTGCTCCCGGGCACCACTTTAGTAACCCTGGTTCCAACCCCGTCCCCCTGCAATGAGCCCTGCTAACTCCTGTCCCAATATCCTTTTTCCCCTTTGGGTTAGGCTTCCCCCACCTGCTGCAAGCATGCCTGATGACCTGTAGATCAGCCTGTGCTCAAAGAATCCAAAGTCCTGCCGTTTACTCCAGTCTTTTAACCATGAGTTGATTTGTTGTTTCTTCCTACTTATCCCTTCGTCCACCCCTATGTCTGGTGGCAGAAGAGAACACCACCTGTGCTCCTGACCCCTTGACCAGTCGTCCCAGAGTTCTGAAATCCCTTTTCATTGCCTTAAGGCTTCTGGTAGTCACCTCATCGTTGCCCACTTGAAATATCAGAAGTGGGTAATAATCTGAGGGCTGAACCAGGGAGTGGATTTTTCTTTGTATATCCTTGGTCCTGGCCCAGGGAGGCAGGTGACTTCCCTGTGGGATGGGTCTGGCCAACAGATTGGGCCCTCTGTTCCACTGAGAAGGGAGTCACCTATTACAATCACCCTCCATTTTTTCTTTGTTGATGAGGTCCTGAGGCACATGGGTGGGTGACCCGTCCAGGGTGCCTCACTGGGGAGATCATCCTCTCCAGTCTCATTTGCCTCATCCCCAAAATCCAGAACTCCAAACCTATTTTGCAAATGTAACTGGGAATGTGAGGGAGGCTGTTGAGGGTTCTGCTTGCCTCTCTGAGGAAGGACCAGCCTCCCATTCCCCCCTTGCCATTAAGTCCCCTTTCTCCGCCTGGTGACAGAGCAGGAGGGGATCATCTACTTTTATTAGAGCCTCTTCTTGCTGCCTTTGCCCCAGGGTATGGCTCCACCAGTCTATTTCACTTTCGTATTCTCTAATGCTTCTTAACCTTTCCATCTCTTCTCTCAGTTCCACCACCTGCCTGAGCAGGTCGTTTATCTGCTCACACCGCACACAATGGGTGTCCCTGGGTCCCTGTGGTACCACAGCCAGGCTCAGGCATTCGGTGCAGCCAGGGCCCTGCCCTGAACGGCCACGTCTTTGCTGGGGACCTCGGTCTGAGTTCCCACATTTTTCTTCACAGGGGCTATACACAATGTATATATACATATAGGAGGAGAGAGCTATGAGCTTAGAAGCAACTACTTCAATGAAAATAATGAATAGATACAATCTATACCAAGCTCCCAGGAAGACCTCACTGAAAGCATTAGGGAAGTCCCAGAGTGGATTCAGCAAGGAACACAGGGACCTGGATCGAAGACAGCCGAACAGACAGGGCCCTCCTCAGATGCCAGCCATTGAAGAAAGAGCTGACCCTTTGATCCCTCACCTTTCACACTGAGCGTGGGGCAGATGGGATGGAACACCCCGTGGTCACTTTTGGGGCCCCCATCCTGCCTGCTCCTCCTCACAGTAGCAACACCTCTATGCTTTTCTGCTTCTAACCCTCCAGTGGGGCAAATAACAGAGTTACCTTGGTTGTTAGAGCAGTAAATAGAAGCAAGAGCCTCTCTGCACCCCATTCCTTGGCAGGAACTATCAACATTGGTCCTACCTCTCTAAGAAAAAACCTGTTAATTCTTACAAAATATTCTGGTAATTTCAGAAGATTAGATAAGAAATAAAATGACTGAAGAGAAAGTTGGTTCTGTTCTACCTCACACTAGTGAGGCACTTGTGGCACAAACAAGAAGAGTTCTGCAATAGTCCCAGGAGGAGAAAGAAACCAGTTCCATGGTTGAAGTCCCAGCACAGGCAGGCACATGGCAGCTCCCACCACAGCTCCCGACCCGCAGGTTCATCTGAGAGCTGGCAGCGAGTTTCTGCTGAGACCAGGAGCAACCAGAGCAGCAGCTGAGGGAAGGACATCCCTGCTCCACTCTGTGCTGCTGGAAGAGGGGAAGCTGTGAGTCCCCACCATGGACTTTCTCCACCACTTCTGTCGAGTGGTTCTCACTGGAGCATAGGTTTGCTGCAGAGATAAGGCCGTGGTTGGGAGCAGCCAGCACCCCAGAAATCACGGTCACTGAAGAACAGACAAGGTTCTTCGCCCACCACTGGGATCCTGCAACAAGCAGCACAGACACCACTGGTACTGTGGGGGTCAGGGTTGTCCCCACGAGCCCCAGTAGGAGACAAGGGCTGCCTGCAAGGGACAGCCCCAGCACACACCTCCCACCAGGACCCTGCCCGTCCCACCACAGGACGCTCTTCCCACAGCCCCAGCTCCCAACGGGACTCACGTCTGGTTGAAGCTGCTGCCGTCCACCCACTCCAGGTGCTCGCCCCGTCTCCGCAGACCAATCCAGTAATCGATGTTGCCCTTCAGGCGTGAGAGGAACTCCTGGGCAGAAAAGAGAGAAGCCAAGAGTCAGGAGCTGCTGCCAGCCCCACGCCAGTCCCTGACCCAGCCTCACACTGGTCATACCAGTCCTGCTGGCAGCCCTCCCCCCCATGGCTACCATCAGCCCTGGGATGGCAGCAGCTCCCACCCCACGCCTGCTCCAACAAGCTCCAGAGCTGCTGGAGATCACCAGCCCACCCAATGCTCTTGGTCCTGCTCTGACAGCTCTGCTCCCACCCCACAGTGCACCCAACACAGGAACCCCCCAAACCCCCACACACCCACAGCAGCCCCTCACTCACCATTTCCCACTCCCTCCTCAGCACGGCCAGTGAGGCCCCACGCGAGGAGCACTGCTCCTGGCTCCACTCCCAGCTCCCCTGGTCCCTCGAGAGGTAGTAGCAGACATTGTGGTACCCGACCCAGCCATCAGGACACGCCAGCACCGGAGCCACAGGCACAGCTGGATCCCCTCCACGTGTTCTTGCTGGAGAGGGAAGGGGAGAAGGGCAGAGGATTGGGCTGCGCAGGGACCAGGGGACACAGCTCCGTGGGGCAGGGAAGGAGGCAGCCGCTCCTCCCTCTCAGTCCCCTCCCCGGGCAGAGGAACTGCCATGGGGCCATTCCCAGCTGGCAGCAAGGGACAGTTACACAGAGCAGGGACAAGGCTGTCACCCCACACACACTGGGGGACAGCCCGCAGCAGGAGAGCTGCCAGGGAGATGGAGATGGGGGGCTGCTACAGCTCCTCCGATGAGACCAAGCAGAATATGAAGCATTTTCTAGACATCTGGAAGAAGCCCCAGACTTGCCAGCCCCAGTCCTCATGAGGTGACACTGCCACGGGGACACTGTCCCTTCTGAGAGGCCACCCAGGGGACTCTGTACTCACCCAGGACTCTTCTGTGCATCCTTCTTCCTGTAGCCCCAGACATCTCTGGGTGGGGGGACACTCCTCCCCCCTGGAGACTCAGGGGCTCCTCCGTGTTCCCACTGCTGGAGCAGAATCCGTTCCTCTCCCCCGTGAATCCATTCCCTTGTTCCATGGCACACTGAAAAAAGAACCACTTTGCTCAAAACAAGGAGGATCTTTCTGTTTCACGCCTGGTTTTGATCTGGTTCTACCACCACTGCTCTTATTACTGTGCTGGGAGATTGCAGAGAACAGGAGGCAGCACATAGCGGTGCTCAATCCTGTGAGCTGATGGCACCAGGCCTGGCTGGCACAGATCAGCTGGGACCCCACGGTGACACCCGGGCTCAGGAAGGCGATGTCAGGGAAGCCCTTCTGTGTTCCTGCTCCCACCAGGACGCTGCAGCCTGTCCCCAGGAACTGGGGAGACAAACGCAGCCTCAGGGAGCCCAGGGACCAGCCCTTGGACCCCAAGAGGGCCAGCATCCTCCTTGCTGAAGTCAGAGCAAGGGACACAGTGAGGTAGATCAAGGAGGGAGGAAGGCAGATGAGGGAGGAGCAGATGAAGGTCTTCCCGCTTCCCTGCAGCCCAACTCCTCCAGCCGAGCCCTGCACCCCAGGGTAGCCTGAGCTCAGAGGGGGAGCTCCGGGCAGCAGCAGGCCCTGGGTTACCCTGGCTGCCCGGCAGGGTTAAGGGGAACAGGGGGAGTTTGGGGGGGGTGCCCGGCACCTCTCTGGCCGCCAGGGGAGGGGGAAGCTTGGGGGGTGGACCCCATGGAACCACCCCTACCTTCATCGACCCAGGACCAAGTCATCAGCAAGAACAAGTAGGGGGGGAGGGGGTGAGAAGGGGCTCTTAAAGTGAAAGCAACAGACTCACCCTGACCTGAAGGGCATTTTTTCCCTTCGAGAGTTCCTTCACAGAATCACAGAATCTTCTAGGTTGGAAGGGACCTTAAAGATCATCTTGTCCAACCGTGATGGATTGATTCCTTGCTCAATACCTTCTCTAAGGGGGAGGGAGCTCATCTCAAACCTGACATCAGCTCAGTGGCCCCTTCTCGGCTCCTCTCCCCTTTTCCCAGCAGGAGTGAAGTTCAGCTTTGCCAGGCTGTCCCCAGGGGGATGGGCAGCCCAAGCGAAGCAGCGGTGGGCATCTGGCTTGGGTTCAGATGGGATGGGGTTGGCTTTGGGGGCTGTCAAGGCCTCGTCTGCTCCTCACACAGCCCCCACCAGCGAGTGGGCTGGAGGAGGAGCACCAGAAATTGGGACTAAACCTCTTTCTCTTCCTATTCTCTCCCCCATCCCAGCCAGGGGCAGTGAGCAAGGGGCTGTGTGGTCCCAGCTGGAGTGATACCACTTTAATATCCCAGGGGCACATCATGTCACCCCTCTGCCTGCCTTGGTGACCCCCAAAAAGGGGCTGTGGCCCCTCCACCCGGCCCTGCCACCACAGTCCATCCTGGGGGCGTTTAGTGGTGCCAGTGTGGAGCAGGCATCGAGCTTCTGTCCTGAGCACCAAACTGGGGGAAAAAGGGAGATGAGAAAGTCCTTTGGTCACCGCATTTGTCTGGGCAATGTCCCAAGAGCTGGACCCCAGTTAATGAGGGACTGGAACCACAATCAGGCTGATAAGCCCTTCGTAGCATCAGAAATGGCTCGGGTTAAGTACTAATTACAAGTTGTCACTATTATGAGGAACAGATAGAGGTCTTCCCATTGCCCTCTAGCCCAACCCCGTATCCCGGGCTCCACCAGCCAAGGAAAAGCACAGTAGGGGAGCTAGAGCTCAGAGGGGGAGCTCCAGGCAGCAGCAGGCCCTCAGTCACCCTGGCTGCCGGGCAGGATTAGGGGGAGCACGGGGGGTTAGGGGGTGCCCGGCACCTCTCTGGCCACCGGGGGTGGGGGGAAGTGTGTCCATCCCTACCTGCGTCGACCCAGAACTGAACCAAGTGCTTCTGCTTCTTGCTGCTCCGTGCGTGGTGACCGAAGAACTCTCAAATGCTGTGTTCTGGGAAATCAGCAGGAAAAAAAACAACAGATGAGGGAATGGGTTGTTAATGTGGCGGGAACAGACAACAATGAGCGGGTGGGTTTTTTTCCCTTCAGGATTTCCTTGCCTCTAAGGAGAAGGGAGCTCAGCTCAAACCTGACATCAGCTCAGTGGCCCCATCTCCTCTCCCTTGCCCGCCCTGGAGCAGGTTCCCCTCCTCTCCCCTTGTCCCAGCAGAAGTGAAGTTCAGCTTTGCCAGGCTCTCCCCAGGGGGATGTGTCCCCGGTGGCAAGGAGGGGAGGGGCCAGGGCTGCCTCCAGCAGGGCCCTGCCCCAGCAAGAGAGAAATACCCGTGGTCACTCATCGTGTTTTAATACAAAGAAACAAACAAAAAAACCATCAGGCAGAAAGCAGTTTCAGTGTGACACGGAATCTAACTCTCATGGGAGCCCCACAAGGGCCACTTCACCCCCTGCTCTGTGGCCCCTCTGCCCTGCTCAGGGCCAGGGACCTGCACTGGGATGTCTGTGCCCAGCTCCTCTGGGAGCAGCTGCTCCAGCTCCATCACCACAGCTCAACAGCAGGTTTTTATGTGTGATGGTTTGGGATGGCTTGGCCAGTGACAAGGCAACAGATGGTCTTCCCGACCTCTCCCTCCAAGGAGAGGAGGAGGAGAAGAAAAAGGTTTGTGAGCTGTGAACAAACTAAACTACCTTAATGAAATTTTAGGGATAAAATAAAATAGAAATAATGAAATAGATGCAATAGACAGAAAACCATACCAAGCTTCCGGGATGATGTCACCAGCAGGCACAGGGGAAGTCCCAGACTGAACTCAGCCATGGATGGGAACTGGATTCCAGATCTGGAGTCAGGAAGGCACAAACCCGGATCAAAGGTAGACAAACAGACAGGGTCCTCCTCAGACATTGGCCATTGGAGAAAGAGGCCTGACCCTTTGGTCCCCGAGCTTTTACACTGAGCGTGAGACAGATGCAATGGAACACCCCCTTGGTCACTTTTGGGGCTGCCCTCCTGTCTGCTCCTCCCCACAGCAGCCACCCCTCTACCCTCTTTGCTTCCACCCTCCAGTGGGAAAAATAACAGTTACCTTGGTTGTTATAGCAGTAAATAGAAGCAAGAGCCTCTCTGCACCCCATTCCTTGGCATGAACTATCAACATTGGTCTTATCACTCTGAGAACGAATGGTTTTCTACACAATATGCTGATAATTTCAGAGAGTAGAAGAGCATTAGTCTTTTGGTTTGAGAAAACCTACCATAATTTATTGTCTTTTAGACAATTATTCTATCACCCTATGACACCTCTCCCCTCCCAAAGGAGAATGAGGCAACACAAAGAAACACACAGGTTGAAATATAAAGAGATTTAGTAGGAAAAGACTAAATAATTAACAATAGTACTAAAGACAAGTACTAAACCTAATACTAATACAAGCTATACAAGAATTGTCCTCAGACCATTCCATCAGCAGGAACCTGTGCACTCCCAGCACTGTAAAATAAATGTGGAACCCTGTGAGTGCTGTGGCTTCCGGAGGAAGGGAAGGGCCCAGGGCTGTGGCACCAGGGCAAGGAGTTCTCTTGGACCATTGCCATCAAGGAAGAGGGAGCAGCAAACTTTCTCATTTCTATTGAATGTGATGCTCATGGTATGAAATAACCCTCTTGGCAGCTTGGGTCATGGACAAGTTGGAGTGGGGCCAGAGGAGGCCACGGAGATGCTGCGAGGGCTGGAGCCCCTCCGCTGGGAGGACAGGCTGAGAGAGTTGGGCTTTGTCATGGTTAACCCCAACCAGGACCCTGCAGTCTCTCAACTCACTTTCTGCTGGTGGGATGGCACTGCTCCTGGCTCCACTCCCAGCTCCCCTGGTCCCTCGAGAGGTAGTAGCAGACATTGCGGTACCCGCGATTTTGTGGTTGGACTCGATGATCTCTGAGGTCCCTTCCAACCACCACAATTCTGTGATTCTGTGATGGGAGAGAGAATCAGAAAAGTGAGAAACCTTGCGGATTGAGACAGAGGCAGTTTAACAGGAAGACAAAAACATAGAATTCATTCACTACTTCTGAGAGTTCAACCATCTCCAGGAGGGTTCAGCCATCTCCAGGAGGGTTCAGCCATCTCCAGGAAAGCAGGGCTCCATCAGCATAACAGTGACTTGGGAAGACAAATGCTGTAATTCTGAATGCCTCCTCTCTTCTTCTCCCAGCTTCAGATGCCAAGCAAGACATAATACTGTGCAGAATGTCCCCCCAGCCTGCTCACTGGCAGGGTGGTGTGAGGAGCAGAAGAGGCCTTGACTCACTGTGACCCTGCTCAGCAGTAATGAAAACAGCCCTGTGTTACCAACACCGTTTCCAGCACAAATCCAAACCAGCCCCACACCAGCCTCTGAAGAAATTTAGCTCTGCCCCAGCCCAAAGCAGCACAGGTTGTTCTGCCTGGAGAAGAGACGGCTCCAGGGACATCTTAGAGCCGACAGACATGGGGGTTTGTTACAGCTTCCCAATGAGGGCCGAGTGAGGCCTTTCCCAGACAGCTGGAAGAAGCCTCACACTTGCCAGCCCCAGTCCTCATGAGGTGACACTGCCATGGGGACACTGTCCCCTCCCCACAGGCCAGAGGGGGGGACCCTGCACTCACCCAAGACTCTTCTGTGCATCCTTCTGCCTGCAGCCTCAGGCACTTGTGGGTTGGGTGACACCCCTCCGTCCTGGGGACTCAGGGGATCCTCCACACTCCCACTGCTGGAGCAGAACCCTTCATGATGTCCTGGAAAGTGAAATCACTTGGCTCACAACAAGCAGCACCTGGCACCCAAGGGATCACAACTGCTGCCAAAGCCTGT